TACATGGTATTCTTTGAAAATTTATTGTTGTTATGTTAATTTATTAAAGCGAGGTGTGCATAGTTTGTAGATTCGTTCGTTGCCTACATTGTGCCATTCGTAGATGTTTTTTTTAAGTTAAAACATGTCGCTGTGTACATGGAGTCTTGTCAAATATTTTTGGTTAGAAACTTTACGTTTTTGCTATCTAAATTTTTTGTTTTTGTTTCAGATTTTTAGCTAAATTGTATGTTGAAAACGTAGTTTTTGCATGTGCGAAAACCACGTTTTTGGAGACATTTTAGGCTTAAAGTTCCAAATGTAGACAAAAAATGTAGATAGTAATATGGCAGGCGTGAAGTTTCTCGCCAAAAATATTTGGCGCGAAATTTGGCGACTTGAGGGCGCATATCAGAGTAGTTCCAGAGTTGCTCCCTATCAAAGAGAAAGGAGGAATCCAGAAGAAAATAATGTTAAAATGAATTAATAGTAAATAAATATGAATAACATCAACAAGAAATTAAATGAATTAATAATTTCAAAAATATACATAGCTGTTAAGAAGAACAATTAGTGTTCAAATATTATTTCACTCTTTCATTTTTTTTTTCATAATTAATGCAACCAATATTCTAGTTTATTCAGTGTTTGAAATCAGCATTTCCAGAAAGCAGGGCCAGCTATTTCTATAAACGAATTCAGATTTGCACTTTTAAACACCACATTACACCATGCCATGTATCAGTCTCAAAATGATGCAGTGCAGAAAGAGATTACTACTTTTAGAATAAAGAAAGGAAATATAAATCAAGCATTACGGAGCTATCGCTAATTTATAATTTACTAATTATGTAAGTAGAAATAAAACTCAAACACCCAATACTAATTTTACAGCAGTATTAATCATCCAATCAAAATTCATTAAGAACTGAAACTAATGTCTAAATTGAGATTTCACCCTGAAGGCAACACACTTATCTTTAAAATAAATTATAATTTAAATTACCAACAGCTCCTTAATGGTTGATTTGATATTTCTTCTCTTTATTCTAAAAATAGTAATTCTTTCTGTACTGCATGATTTCTAGAATGACTCAAGACATATGACTCTTACATGACACATGGAACTGAAACTCAAACAGCCAATAATAATTTTACAGAAGCATTAATTATGTAATCAAAATTAACTGAGAACAAGCTAATTCGGTTTGAATTGAGATTTCGGTTAATCTTCGGATTATGGTAACTTGGCGATTTTTTGGCGACCAACCCTGCTACAGCAGCCTGCTAGTTTTTGTTCGGACGCCATTTTGTTTTCACGAAATACAGGCCCCCCCTTTTTTTTTTACACATTCAAAATTTTTTTACAACAATCCGCTAGCCGAATTACGCTTATGCTAGAACTTTTATGGAACAAAAGTGCTTAATCATGACAAAGATTAGGTGCGAAATTGGGACAAAGTGCAGAATCGCCTACTGCTTGCCACGTTTTTAAGAATTGCACGTACACGATATCATCCATGTACACATCGACCTATTTTCACTTAAAAAACATCCCAGAATTGCACAAAAATGGTATTACGCACTCTCTTGACTTTATCCATGTACACTGCTAAAGTCCTAGCTAGTAACCTTTATCGCCTTACCAAAATGTCGCCAAACTACCTGTTACCATATTCCAAAGATTAGCCGAGATTTCATCCTGAACACAACGCACTTGCTTCCTACACCTGGCTTAGCTAGACTGTTGCCTGCTGATCTCTTCTTACTGCATACTATAAAAAATGTAAACATTGAAATAGGCACAATCAGTATGCCAAGATATCTGTGGCCGCTACATGTTCACTGAAATAAAAACCAAGCTTTAATCTGCCTTGACTGCCAAGTTTGCTGTTCATTGTGGATTCAATATTCTATATCAGCAAGGGCATCAGACGATAGTCTAGCTAAGCCCAAGTATAGAAAGCAACTGCATTGTGTTTTAGGATGAAATCTCAGTTCAGGCAGAGTTAGTTTTGGTTCTCAATGCATTCTGATTAGATAATTAATAAACTATAACTGGCTGTATGAGTTTTAATTCCATTTACATAATCAGTGTTATGCAAGAGTTGTATGCTATGGATCAGTATAGAAATGACACAGAGCAAAAACAGATTACTATTTTTAGAATAAAGAGAAGAAATACCAAATTAAGCATTACAGGCCTAACTGCTAATTTAAATTATGATTTATCTTTTACAGCCCCCTTTTTTTCAGGACAGTAAATGCTAAAAAGCATTAAATATACATAAATGTTCATAAATATTACATAAAAATGAAAAGAAAATAATTATTTCATTACAAACTTTTCATGAAAACTGATCTAATTTGCAATATAGCAACTGATTTAGCAACAGAAAAAATATCAGCGGCTCTCAACCTTTTTTGCCCCATGCACCTCTTTACCACTCCTACAAGACCATACCCCTTAGCAATAGCTCAAAAGATACATACATATTTATTTAAATTTAGATTACTTTTTAATGTGTTTTATGTATTAAAGAAGGAAAAGTATAGAAAATGTTGATAAATACCAAAACCTGAATAAAAACAGATTTTTATACTCATGAACTAAAATACTTAACAGGTAAATAAAAGGCTGACCATATTTTTCCCAAAACTACAAAATTCTCCCCCTTGTTGACAGCCCGTTTCAGATGTTTAGTTCTGAAGTTTAGATGACAGATACTTAAATTATCTTTAAAAATTTGAGTTTTGCTTGTGGAACTTCAGGGTACCAATACACACAATCTAAGATTACTGATATAAAGGAACCATAAACTAAATTACATGAATAGTTTGGACTATTTGTGTTTACTAATGAAAAAAGTCCACTTTTGCATTACTTGAAAAACTTTTGTAGCATACTTCACCTACGAAAACCTTGTTACAACTTTTACTTCCTTTAACCCTCTGGCTGCTCATCCCGCGATTTCCACGGGCAACTCAAATGTAGCAAAATCTGCTCATCCTGCGATATCCGCGGGCATGTGTTTTTCTTCCTTTATTGAGGAGCGCATCCCGTTTAAACATTGGAATAAATTATATACAGTATATGACGTATAGTTTACGTTTTGGCCAACATATATCGTTAGTTGTCCACTAAATTGCGGGATTTGAAGGCACATGGTATTAGTACGCTCAAACTTCACTCTTTGCCTGCTTTTTTCTTACAGAAATGGCTGCTAGAAAATGTTCAGCGATTATCTTGATTATTTAATAAAATTGTTGAATATTAATTCGATTTATTGGTTAGATTTATAATTAAATTGATTATTAATTAGATTATTGAATCTGGCGCGAAGACTGTGAAGTTGGACTTTGCCTTGAACCCTGTTTTGAACTCTATCGTACTAAACTGCATTTCTAAGGTATTTTTTCCTCAGTGCTTCATATTTTCTTAAAATTTATACATTTTACTTTTTTATATTATGTAATAAATAGAAATTAACTGTAATTCGATTGAAATTTATTAAAAAAATTTTTTTTTTTGCTGATAGTATCTGAAATTGGTTTTTCTGGCAACTTAGTTTCTCATGATAAAAATCTACATAAAAGTGTTTTCTAGAAAGAAAAAGTGCATTTTTCAACTTTCCAATATATATAGAGATTTAAAATATGAAAAAAAAAAATGACACATTTTTTGAAGCGATTTCGGCCCACAAACTGGGCAGTCAGAGGGTTAAATCATCAAGTTTGTTCACCTTTCCAGCACACCGACGTGCCCCAAAAGCCGCTTTGACAGCCAGTTCGACCAAATCATTCAATAACTAAAAGCAACAGATGGTGTGTACAAAAAGCAGGGACGTAATCAACACAAGCTATGACTTGTGCTTACTGGGAATTTCGTTCTAGAGGAATAATTACAAGACCCTATCCCCCCCAGCACGAAGAAGTTCAACGGGTTACCCAGTCTGTCAGACAGGGAAAGCACAGACTGATTCCTTCAATGTAGTGCACGCAGGCATGGACATCAAAGTGCATCACAGACTTGTTATTTCTCTGTCTTGTGCAGCTAAATGCTAATTCAAAATAATGTACGAGATAAATATATTTTGAAATTACACCTGTGTGCTTTACATCAGCGAAAACATAGACCCCCCCCCAAAAAAAGAATATTTCTCCTTTTACAACAAAATATTGTAATATAGATGGTAACAGTTTTGCCAATTTTCCAGAAATTAATTCAGTTTTGAAACAAACTGCAAAACGGAGAACAGAAGTATAAAAAAAAAAAAAAAAAAAAAAAAAAAAAAAAAAATAGAACCTGAAAAGCATAAAAATATACAAAATCTTCTTTTAATATCTAAGTAAGTAAAAATAGAGTTCTTTTTAATCCTGGAAAAAAAAATATTGAAAATGAAGCCGAGAAAAAGATTAGCAGAAAATAACCAAAACGAAAAAAAACAAAAAAAAAAAAAAAAAAAAAAAAAAAAGTTTTAAAGTAATTAAAATACTAGATTAATAAGGGATAACATTTGGAAATTCTCTACTCTTAACTAACTGCCTAATGAAATACTTTGAAGCTAAGGCACTAGGATGTAGAATATTAGAAATATATTTTAGAAAGTATAGAGAAATTTTTCATACATCTGTATCAATTTATCTTTTTTTCAGTTTCAATAATTAATCACTAGGATATCCTTAAAAATATACTGAATCAAGGTGGGGGGAATTCTTTTGGTTATTGGATATTAACCTCAATATAAACCTTATTGTGCTCAAAGCCTCATTTTTATACCAGTATATATACTGCTTAAGAGTTTGCTTAATTCCTGCACACTCATATGCAGTTTCTTCCTTGTAATATATTATTTTAGATATTTACGTGTACTACACAAAACAAAATTTAAAAAAAAAAAAAAAAAAAAAAAAAAAAAAAAAAAAAAAAAAAAAAAAACAACTAAGAACAGCTAAAAAAATCAGTTTATCTATTAAGGACAGGCAATTCTAAAAGCTATTGCCAGAAAAAGTTGACTTACCCTTTTTGCAGGAATGCAAGGAAATATTAACAGGGTAGTCAGGTTTGCACCTGCATATATTATCGTCGTCACAATAGGAATGACTTGCTAAGCATATCCTGAATATAGCGTTACAAGGTTGCCCAACATGACTGAGACCTAAAAAAGAATAAAATTAATTTTAAATGAAACGTAATTAATACGGGAGAGAGAATTTAATCATGTAAAGAATGATTAGTGACTCGAAAATTTCATTTCTTAAGGTTTTTAATACGAGCACTCCTAAAAATTAATGATGTCATCATACTGATTGCTTTGAACTGCATATTACGAAACTTGATGCTGTAAATTTCTAATTTTACAAGTAATACATCGACAAAACGTATTATGTCATTTAAAAATGATACATCGAAATGATTCAAATTACCTTTTGGAAGACTGTTACAAAACAAAACAATTAACAACAACAGACGAACAAACATAGCTACAAAACACAAACAACTTTACGTCCATTCCTACGAAAGTCGTTGTTCACAGAACATCTTCTCGAGGGCAAAGGGGGAAGAAATAGGAGGAGTTATGAGAGACAGACAGACAAAGTAGACAGATATCTTGTTTTGCATCCGCTAAGTCTTTCTGCACTGATGGGCGAAAAATCAAGCATAGGTGCGAAGGAAAGGTATGTAGAAAGGGGGGCAATTTCGTATTTGAGGAGAGTAAAAAAAAACTTCGTACATTTTGTACTAGTTCAAAAGGCCAGAAAGAAAAAATGAGACAAAATAAAATTTAAAATAAATGGCCCAAAAATAATAGAGGGGGAAAAAAAAAAAAAAAAAAAAAAAAAAAAAAAAAAAAGGGGCCTATAGAAGAAAAAGAAAGAAAAGAAGTAGAAAATATCCTAAAATACGATTGTGTCCATGAGTGTAGTTAAAAGGAGTTCATTTGCAAAAATTAGTGTCTTTAAGAAGCAAACTTTAGCTAAGTTAAAAAAATAATAATAATAAATGAATTCCTACATGGTAATGTGTATGCCCTTATCTTGAGACCTAACTAGAAAAGACATATATCATCACAAAGATGTACATAATATTTAATTTGTTTTAAGAATACGTTCTGAAAATTATTCAGATTTTTGAAGTTTTCAAAAAACAACACTTTTTCACTTTCATACAATATATAAATTGCTATTTCAGTGTCGATGAAGTATCAGACTTTCAATACTCAGCTACATAAATTTCTATCCATAAAAATTGTTTTCTTACTTTTTCATCAGCAACTAATAACAGATTTTATTTTAGATATAAAAAATGCACTCAGATATATATGTTCTGCTTTATCACTCAGAAATAATACATAAGTGAATTTTATGGCATGGGCTATACTTTCACATCATTTTGAGTTTATTAACTCAAATTGAATGAGAGTTAATAAACTCTCATTATTGGAATATGGTCACTTTTATCTGGTTGCATGTGTAGTCTCCCTTTTACTTTTTGTTTATTATCTCTGTCTTTAAAATATAATGAACTCGCATTCTCTACATTGATTATATATTCTTTATGAAAATGAATATTTAGAAAAATAATGCATAAGACAATTAACATTATATAACATTACAGAACTAATTCTAGAATGGCTACTATGTGGAAGGCTATCAAATACTGCATTTTTAAAGTAAATAATAGAAGCATATTTCTATCGTAGTTATATGAGAACTGAATAATATGAGATTATAGTATAGTTAGTTATACGAGAATATCTTAAATAATATTTTCACAAGCCTACACATAATGTTTCAATACTTGGGTTTTCAAAGCAGAAAAAGTTGTAAAATAATACACATCCAGAAATAAGTGTCCAAAATAGCTAGTTATCTGATACATATGTAGATCATATGAGCAGGAATGTGATATATTAATAGATATATAAAATCGGATCGAAAAATAACTGCCCTGCATTTTCGCAATAGACGCACATTACTCGACTTTTAATGCTAATTTAGCAATATAACAGAACAAAATTAGCAATCAGATACCAAACAAATATAAACACATCTTAATCCCGTTTTTCCCCATGTATTTTCCTTTTCTCCCTTGCACCTATTCCCCACATGATATTTACTTCCGTTGGCATAATGATATGTCACCCATATCCTTAAAGAAACCAAGGCTGTTCTCCGAACCTTATCCAATATTTTAAATAAAGTAACATTAACTATTACCGTTCCTAAAAAATTCATGTATATTTCAGAAAAACAGTAATTGACAATACCATAAATCCATACACAGCGTGAGAGCATTTCAGCAAAAATAAATTATACAGTTTATTTTTCTTAAATATTAGTTAAATAAAATTAATTTAATTAATTTAACCGTTGCAATTTATTCTAGTACAAATTTAACAAATTCCGTCACACTGTATTTATATTTGCTCATAATTCTAAGTTTGAGATCTGAAAAAAAAGTCGGAGGATCTTAGTTACAAAAAAATCACAATCTATGCTCATCGATGGTCAAGAGATCCCCATTTTCCTCTGTCAAGAAATTCCTAAGCACGAAAGGAAGGGCCTCCGAAGGGTATGAATTGCTGATAAGAACGGATTACTGATAAGGAATGTGGCGTCTCTATGGAATAGTTACGAAGAAAAGAACGACATGACTTGCTACTATTACTAAACTATTGTATAATGCTAGAATCTTATGAAAATAATAAATAAAGAAATTAATGGCACTTTAGTGATAGAGAATAAGATATTGTATAGAGAACAGAATGTACTTATCTGAAATTTTCCGTGTCAGGGTTTTTTTGGATTCTCGTGTTGATAGTGAACAGCGAAACAAGATATTTGAAGTTTCCAAGAAGCGAAGTTTCCTTTTTCAATTTGATGAATGAGACATTGCATAGGAAAGGTGCATTAAACTTTTTAAAGAGTTGAAAACATTTATTGAAACATTTATTTAAAAATTTCGGAGCTATGTTTAGACACTGCCTCCAGCTTTCGTGATCGCAGCGCCAGTCACAAATTCGAACTTCCCCCAACCGGAGTTATGAGATTTTCTGTGTTGCAGCAGCAGTGTCTTTTTGGTTGCAGCGATATATACCAATAATTTTCTCGCTGAGTTATTTGGCGTCACGCTTGTTCATTCTTGTTTTTGGTTAAGTATGGTTTGTAATTTTTCCATGTAATAATTTTAATACTGTTGCCTCCTACGCCGCAATATAAGTTATGTACAGCGCATTGTTTCTGCGCATTTAGGGTCATTTAGGGGTCAGAAAGACTTTAAAAAGGGTACGCGAGGCGGTATATTTCCCGCAATTATACAAAATAGTAACTGCGTATGTCAGGTCCTGCAATCAATGTCAGTTAATAAATGATATTAATTACAGCCCGGCCGGGTACTTAAATAGCATTCGCGCTACATTTCCGAATGAAATTTTTGGCATAGATCTTCTTGGTCCTTTCCCCCAGAGCGAGTTAAATAAAAAAATCGTTTTCTTTTAGTAATTGTAGATCATTTTTCAAAATGGACAGAAATTGTTCCACTTTAAACGCGCGTCAGCCAAAACAGTCGCAGATGCATTCTTACACAGATACATTTTAAAATACGGTGCACCGATAAAAGTCATTAGCGATAACGGGAAAACAATTCATTAGTCAAATATTTGAAAACATATGCACTGGACTTGGCATACGCCATATCAAAATGGTTCCGTATAGACCACAGGCAAACATAGCAGAAAGAGTTAATAAAAAAACATTGTAAAAATAATTCGCAGTTACGTTAGCACACATCACAAGCGCTGGGATGGCTACATAAATGAATTAGCTTATGCTTTAAGAACGGCAAATCATGATACTACGGGAAAAAACCCCAGCAGAATTATTTTTAGGACGAAAGTTAATTACGCCTTTAGATAAATTATTCTTTGTGCAACAAAGAGAGCAAGAATTTAAACAAAGATGTGCAAAAACTTATTGATCAGGCGGTTAAAAGCTCGGATACGGCAAGAAATAGCAAAAATTATATTATGATAGAAAACGCCGTGTGAAGCAGATTTTAAAGTTGGGGATAAAGTATTGAAGCGGAAATTTTCTTTATCAAGTGCCCCAGACAATTTTACTGCAAAGTTAGCTCCAAAATTTGAAGGCCCCTATGTAATTCAGGAAATCAAGGGAGTCGTATTGTACCTTAAGAACGAGAGAGGGGAAATCTGTAAAGCAAGTCCCGACCAGGTGAAAAAAATACTATAATCAAAATGATTTTGAAATCCTTAAAAGTTTCTTGCAGGACTCAAGCGTAAAAGAAGTAGAAGGTCCAGAAGAACTTCAACCCGTTTCCACCACCAAGAAGAAGCAGAGAACTGAAGAGAAACCTAGCCCTTCTACAACCCATTGCGACGGTACCTGAAAAGAAAAAGAAGGAAAAAATTTCAAGACTCCAGCATTTAAGAAATACAGAGAAAGCAAAGCCGCCGCCGCGTAAAGAAACTTTGGTAAAAGAGGAAAACCACCAGATACAACGTATCGCAGTAGAAATTCTGCATCGAGGAGAACGCTTCCAGGGCCAGAGAGTCAGGTGCAAACAAGGCCGCCGTTCACCGAAGAACCGAAAAGACAGGAGGAGGAACGAAACGAAAGACCACCACCAACAGAAGAAATTCAGAAAGAAATTCAAGCATGACTCCAGACCGGAGGACGCCAAGACCAGCCGTACAGGGGAAAAAAAAAAAAAAAACGGAAAAGACAGCAACCCGAACGACTACCACTCCAAGAGGGCCAGCATGCAGAGGGCGAAAAGAAAAAAGTAACGTGGACGACACTCGGAGGGACACTAAGGAGAAGACTGACGTCGATGAAACCTATAAACGTGGGAGCAGTTCTGCCGGAAAAGGATGTCCGGAGTTTCCAATCATCGAAAATTCAAAGATAAGTTAAAATCTTCTATAAATTTTTTTTTCTTTTGTTCCGAAATGTTATGCGTAAATACGAAGTTCTATGTTTTGACGGAAGTCAATGTGTCTCGGTTGAGACTTAGTTAGTTTTGTTTTACTTTATTTAGCTAAGGCAAAAGCAAAAGTATTTTTTATTTTTCTTTAAGTAAAAATCTAAGAAAACAAGCAGTTTTCTGTTGGTCGAAAGACTAATTCTGTTATGTTGTTTAAAGCCTAAAATTTGGCGAAGATAAAAAATAAAAACTTCGTATTCTTGTATTAATAAGAACTTTAGTTTCAGTGCCGCCAGCTTGGCGAAGAATGAGTAAAGTAAAAAATTTATTTTTCTCTTATTCATTTTTATGGTAAATTGTAAAATCATATGTATTAGAATTTTGTAAATATACGTAAATACTTGAAAGTTATGTAAAAGTAGAAGAATTCAGTCTAGAAGCATAAAATTTTAGATGCTAAAAGTAGGTAAATGCTCAAAAGCAATGAATTCAAAATTTAAGTATTAAACTGTAGATAAAATCATGCTTTAGAGCGAAAAAGCCTGCATGTCTAAAGATGAATGAGGGGGAATAATTTAGAATGAATGTGTTTTGTAGGGTTCTCCACCTACACTTGAATTT